AGCCTGTTTTAGATGATCTAACTAGACCCACTGCGGCAAGATCTAAGGTATATATTTACAAAGGGAGAGCATTTGGGGCAAATAGGAGGTAGCCTTGTTCTCTGGAGAGGCCTGGAGGCGGGCCTGCCAGCTGCTGTGACTGTCCTGTTTGGTTAGCTCTGGGGTTTCAGAAATGGTGACCATTCATTGCAGGCTACGCCACCCGACCGAGGTGAAGTTACTGTCAAGTGCTAAGGGGCCCCTCTTCCTGTCAGGGCGGTGACGCCTTAGAGTGGAGTGATCCTCTCAGATATCTAAGTGCAGAGGTCGGCTTTGAGTGGCATTACAATACCCGATAGAATCTCACACATTCAAAATAAGGTCTGGACAGGGAGAGGGGAAGGAGAAGCATTTTCTAATGAGCAGAAATTTGTTTTGGAGGAATGTTTTTAAAGCATTTATATAGCATTTCATTCATGTGTTCGATGTATTTTCACTTTTTTTTTTAAAGAAATTTTTTATTGGTTTTGAGAGAGAGAGGAAGGGAGAGGGAGAGTGAAACATCAATGACCCAGGCTGCCTCCTGCACACTCCCTACTGGGGATAGAGCCACAACCTGGGCATGTGCCCTGACTGGAAATCGAACCGGCAACTTTTTGATATATGGGATGATGCCCAAACAACTGAGCCACACCGGCCAGGGCTCATGTGTTCTACGTATTTTCAGTGGAAAGTTTTCCAAATGAGCTAAATGAGGCTAGGCTGATGAAACATTTTAACTTAAAGCTGGCCTCTGTTTGCATAATAATGCACACAGCCTAAATCTCAAGTATCAACACTTTCTCCAACTTTTTATTTAATAGGAGCCAGAGTATACTGTCTGAGTTACTCATATTCCTCATAACACCTGCATGTTAAGACACCGGGCTTCATTGAGGAATTAATCTGGAAAAAAACAAAACAAAACCAAACACTTAGATTTTTTTTTTTTCCTGGTGAGAGAGAGCTTCATTTGGATGAATTTGCTAATATGTTCTGTGCTGGCGGTTGTTGGAAGAGCATGCTCCCCAGTCACGATGTTAGATTCTTCCTTTTGCAGTGTCCCAGAGGGAACAAAATTTGCAGCTGGCAGGGGTGTGATAGAGTGTGAAGCGTGATTGTATGTAAAAACAACTGCAAATGATGACACTTAATCACGATTAAAATGAGTTAAGGTTTGAATTAAAATCAAAGAAACACAGCGAGTGCTCTTGCATGGAGAGCACAGTGGTGACATCAGCTGGTGGCCCCTGCCCTGCTGCCCCCCCCCTAGCC